GTAACCCTAAACCTTGAACCCTTAACCCTAACCCCCCCCTAATTCAAAATGGGTTTTACAGGGCGGGGCTAATTCTGGGTAGATTTAGGCCGATGTATTTCTATAATTAGGGGGGCATTTAATAAATGGGGGAAGGGATTAATATGAACCCCAAAAAGGAACTACTTTAGGGCCTATGGGTAGACAGGGTTAGTCTAGTAGTTTAAGCACGTGTGAGGCAAGTAAACAAGTAAACTCTTGGCTTTACGGCCTGGAAGGGATTCGGGTATGCACTTTCGGGCTCATAGTCCACAGACCCTAAACCCTAAACCCTAAACCCTAAACCAGGGCTTTAGGGCTAGGGGAGCCCTAAGACGCGTGAGACCGTAAGTCCTTTTTGTGGGGACGAGTCACTCCTGCTCCCCCCAAACCCTATAAACCCTAAAGCCCAAAACCCTGAAAGGTACCGAACAAATTCTAAAACCCCGAAACCCTAGCACTACAGGAACCTTCGCATTGCGGTTCTTCGGTTGCAGGATCTCAGGGCTTACGAGGGCATGGCCTTCGGGTTTAGGGTCTAGGGTCTAGGGTTTAGGGCTCTAGGGCTTCGGGTTTAGGGTATCGGGTATCAGGGAATCAGAACCCTAAAACCCAAAACCCTAAACTTTAGGAATCAGGGAGCTGAAGGCAACAGAGCAGAGAAGGGGATCTACCTCTGTGACTTGGGGACTTTGAGGTCATATAGGGGCCTTAAATGCGCAGAATGGCTTTTGGGGATGTGCCACAGACAATTGCCTACTTTTCTAAAAACCCGTGTTCAAGACTTCAAAACACGACTACCTCAATGGTAAGAGTCCCAAGAATTGAAAACCTAGGATTTTTTTAGGGTGTGGACCCTAAACCCTAAGCCAGAGGAAGAAGCGTGCGAGCCTCCTTGGGGGAGAAGCTGGCGGGGGCCGCGGTGGCTCCCTTGGGCCGCTTGCCAGTCTGCCTGAGTTTAGGGTTTAGGGTTTACCTGGACCCCAAAGTATGTAAAATAATTGCCCTTTGTGGGTTTTGGGCCATTATTTTACCTACTTTTGGGGTTTCGGGTGTAGGGTTGAAAGGGAACTGAAGGTCCAAAGGACCACTGAAGACGAAAGCATCGGGACACTGAACATCTAACGCCAAGCCCTGAAACATCAGCCTAGACCCTAAACTCTTAACTCTGAACCCTAAACTCTAAACCCTAAACCCTAAATCGGCACTTCATGGAGCTCGTGGTTTTGGTGCTATGAGAGCGAGTTCTTGCAGACGAAGCCGGCTTCGAGAGCACAGTGTCTAATAGGGCTTAGGGTTTGAGGGTTTAGGGGTTTAGGGTGTTAGGGTTCAGGGCTTAGGGTTTTAGGGTTGTTTAGGGTTTAGTGTTTAGGGGTGTAGGGTTTAGGGGTTTAGGAGTTTAGGGTTTAGGGCTTAGGGTTTAGGATTCAAGGTTTAGGGTTTAGGCTGTACGGTTTTCGGGTTTAGGGTTTAGGATTTAGGGTGCAGGGTTTAGGGTTTAGGGGTTTAGGGTTTAGGCGTTTAGGGTTTTGGGGTTTAGGCAGGCCTCAGTAAACTCAAAAGGGTGTGGAGGTTCTTTTTGCGGTAGGATGGTGATAAGGCAGCAAGGCAGCATGAGAAGTCGTATTACTATCGTCCTTAGGGCCCCTTGCTGCAACTACAGGATGAGCATACCCCGAACAGCTGCTATAGTGTCTAATTGTTTTATTCCGCTATACTAACGACAGAAGAACTGCACGGTCTTCGCCTGTGTGCGGCTAGCCGTGACTTAAAGCCTTCGTTCTATCTGTGCGTCTACTCAGCTGCAAGCTATCTATCTATCTATCAATCAATCAATCAATCTATCTATCTATCTATCTATCTATCTATCTATCAACCTATCAACCTATCAGTCTATCTATCTATCTATCTATCTATCTATCCATCTATCTATCTATCGATCTATCTGTCTATCTATCTGGCTATCTATCTATCTACCTACCCAGCTCATACGCATGTGCAAGCGTCAACTTGGGTTGTTCGGTAAATCTGAACTCTCGTTCCCAAACTCTGTGCGTGCTGAATCCCGCGAACCGGTGTTCAGGGTTTCGGGCTCAAGATTTAAACCAAAGCCTTGCCTATAAACCTTTAAACCGCCAACCCAAACCCTAAATCTGCCATACTAAAACCCGAATGCCAACATTCCTGCAAGTTCCGCATCCGAAGGCCCGTATCTTCAGGAGAACAAGCGGGTTTAGTCTCAGCGCTTTCTAAACGTGTTGCACAGGGATTCCTGAGTCTTGCTATGGCCTTGTAGAATATGGGAGGGAATACCAAGTGGTTACGGGATGCTGTGGAACTGGACGGAGGGTCTCATAGCCCGGTTTCGGGCTTAGGGTTCAGGGTTTAGGGTTTAGGGACAGCTGGCATTCGTTATTGTGACAAGTTGAAGTAAGCTCCTCATCCAGAAAACCGGTGAATGCATCTCAAGTGGCTTCTCCTGTCTCGCCGCCTGACAAGCTCTGGCCGTCCGCTGGCAAGTTGTCTAGGACCCCTCATCGTCACCGACATTTACCGCCACCAAAACAACAGCCGCCAGTTCCCTGACTATTGAAACACCGAGTGAGCTCCTCTACCCTGTTTCAAGGTTTAGGGCTAGGGCTGCGGCAAGACCAGTTGCTCCGTCTATACTCACTGAGCTGCTTTAGGCTTGAAAAACCGCACATAAACCTCTTCCACTCTCAGAGAAGAGACGAGTCCCGCAAGATAACTAAAAAGGTTCCTGTAGGGGTTTAGGGTCTACAGGGTTTGCCCTAAACCCTAAACCCTAAACCCTAAACCCAGGGTTTGATTTTAAAGGTATATGGGAAAGCGGGCCTGAGGGTTAACCTTACTTCCCCAATAACCCAGGAGAAAATGGTCAAACTTTCAGATTACTACTAAACAATAAAGGCCCAACAAGCTTAAAGGCTGGTTATTGGAGAACGAAGTAACTGCTGCTAGCCCGGCGCACACGGCGAATAAATGACCTTGGTGTTCGTAGCCGCTCCCGATGATGACCGGTCGGAGGCATCGACCTGCGCGGTCGGCCTCATCTGTGATCTCGGCGACATACCTGCAGTTGGGTGCCGTGCAACGGTGGCAGCAGTTGGGCGCCGTGCAGGGGTGGCAGCACAACCGGCGATGCGGCGCTCCAACTTCTGCTGCTCCCAGAAAAAAATCTGGGTGCCGCGGATCCCCGACGGCAGTCGGCGAGAGTACCAGTACCAATAGGCGGAACTGTAGGACATCTGAAAGTAAAGCTTCACTTGCCTGCTGAATCTCGTCAGCTCTCACACCCTCAAACCTCGAGCCTTAACCCTTGCCCCACAAACAATAAACCCTATATGTCTAAGGTTGAAACCGTGGGCCCATACTATGGGCCCTTAACCCTGGGGTTTGTATCACCTACGATATACCCTATATGTACCCTTGAAGGGTTCCTAGAAAGGCCTAAGGGTCCATATTAGGGGCCCATACTGCTAACCTTAAAAAAAGCCCCCCAGCAAACCCCAAGCGTCCAGGTGCCCACATGGCATATGGGTGCTTTGGGTCCACAGTATATACTATTTGGGTAATATGCCACCCTAGCAAAACTAGCCTCCAACACGAAACACCCGAAAGTTTAGCCCAGGAGCACCCCTCACTACCTGAAACCTTCGAGACCTGTCTGTTCAGGGCTTGGCGGTTTAGGGTTTTGGGGGATTAAGGGTTGCGGGTTCAGGCTTAGGGTTTAGGGTTTAGGGTTTAGGGTTTAGGGTTTAGGGTTTAGGGGTTTAGGGCTTAGCCCCTTCAAGTCGCAATCCTTAATCTCTACACCGAACAAGTCCTAAACCCTAAAACCCTCAACCCTAAGAAAAAAAAAACTAAAACCTTAAACCGGCGAAACAACTTAAAAAACCTAAAAGCAAAAGCCGCAAACTCCTAAAAGCACCCGAAATCCCTAAACTGCCTAAGCCCTCAAAAACCACTACCCTAAACCCTCGACCCTAAACCCTAAACCTTAAACCCTCAACCCCAAATCCCAAACCCCAGACCCTCAACCCTACATCCTAAACCCCTGAAGAGGGGCGGGAGACCTCGAGCGCCGAGGCCTTTGCCGACTTCTCGGCCGATCGTTGGGCCTGCCCGAGCTTACGGTTTAAGGCTTTGGGGCTTTAATGGGCTTTTAGGCTTCAGAGGTTTAGGGCTGTAGGGCTTTCGGGTTTTTTTGGTTTTCGGGTTTTTTTAAGGCTTTAGGATTTGGGAGTTTAAGGCTTTAGAGCTTTACTAAGTTCCCCAGTAGCCCCTTAATAACAAGGGTACTCTGTTTCCTACGATTTGGGTTTTACGCAGGGGGCCCAAGAAAAAAAATGGCAAAAGGGTACTAGTCAGGAACCTGGTTTAGAATTTTCTAGGGCTTAATAGGGCATCAGAGGTTTAGGGCTCTAGGGCTTTTGGGTTTTTTCACTTTAGGATTTGGGAGTTTTAGGGTTTTAGGATCTTGAGGTCTTAGAGTTTTAGGCTTTCAGAGTCTTTAACGTTTAGGGTTTTGGGGCTTAGCGGTTTGGGGCTTAAGGGCTTCATGTAAGAGACTAGGTTGGAGTTTGGGTTCGGGGCTGTGGGATTCGGGCCTAACATAAGAGCTTAGAGGTTCGGGTTTCCGGCTTAAGGGGTTAGGGCTTTAGGGCCCCGGAGTGTAGAGAGCGGTGTAGACCGTTTAGGGATTAGGGTGTCATGTGCACGGCCAGTTGCCTTCTGTGGATCACCGATCCTCTCAAGACATGCCATTATCCACTCTCTGAAGCTTCAGAAATTCGTGGCAGGGGACTCTCACTTCGATGTTGGAAAGCTTGAATCCTAAACCCTAGACCCCTAAACCCTAAATCCTAGACCCTAAACCCTAAAAAAACCTAGACCTTGAACCCCATCCCCACCACATCCTCTGGAGGATCGAGGTTCACACCCCTGCTTGCCCAAACAATGAACCAACACATGCGTGATAATTCCTGGATCCCGGGCCATAATACATACAAAAAAAAACCTACTAAAACCCCAAAACCCTTAAAGAACATAAACCCCCTAAGCCCTAAAGCCCCAAACGAAACCCTAAACCCCTCATGCCCTAAACTGTCTGGTGCTTAGTAGGGAATGGGGGAATGGATGTCCCTTGAGGTCCCTTATAGTAGTCCCTAGAACCCATTCGCAAATTCCCTACTAAGCAGACAGTAAACCTCCATTATTCCTCGGGTCCCATGGCCTTCCGCTCAGCTGCATCAGCCTGCCGCCTTCCAGTGCTGCTTGGGTTTAGGGCTTACAGGGTTTAGGGTTTAGGGTTTAGGGCTTAAGGCCTCGGGTTTAGGTTTTAGGGTTAGGGATTAAGGTTTAGGGATTAAGGTTTACGGTTTAGGGCTTAGGGTTTAGGGTTCAC